ATGCCTGCAGTATTAAATGTGTGCAAACTGTTGCATGTGAGAAGTTTGCAAATGGATATGTAGAGCTTTTTATTATGTTTATTATTACGGAACAAAAAGGTTCAGAATATTTGTTTTGTTATGTCTAATTTCAATTATTTGTTTTGCATTGTTTTGTTTTTATTTTTTATTATATTTTGTTTTCTGATGTAACCTAACACCTTTAGCCCTCTCTTTATACAGAAAAGCCTAACAGATTCTAATATATATATTTGTATTTCATTTTGGTATAGTATTTTTATATGTTAAAGAGTAAATCTTTGTTTTCTGGAAGCTTCTATTGGAACAGGCAGGATGGCATTTGATTGGTTCCCTAGCTGTTTTTATTTGTTTATTTCACTTGCTCAAACAAGGTAGTTTGTAATTGTCCAAAACAAGGTAGTGAATGGTTGGCCTTGTTGTGTAGGCGGCAGTATTGATGTAGAAACATGTTTAATATTGTATATGTTGTCTTCCATGTGAATATGACATCTAATTCATTTGAAAGTCTGTGTGCTGTTTTGTTTGATTTTTTATTTATTTTATCTTAAAGCTTTTTCCTGTAGAGTATAAAAGGCATAATAATTGTCGCTGATTTTCAACAAAATAAAATAAGAAAAAAAAAGTTAAAATAAATACTAGTGTAACAAAAAAAAGCTAAGGTATTTGTGACATCCCTTAATAGCCAGTTATGACAGTGTTTTCTCTCCCTCTGGCTCAGACACATTCCTCATTGGCTGTTGGGCCCGAGTGGGTGGAGTTCAAATGCAAATGAGTGAGATGCTCCTCCCACTCTGAAATAAATTGTTCCTGTATTTACTATACCATACTCTGAAATATTGTGCAAGGGTTCTGATCGTTTTGTGTTGAAGTATTAGTTGAATTTCTGTCATTTTAAATTGGGGACATTTTCCGTTGTAGACAGAATTATATGATTTAAGTGAAAGTCACAGTCGACTGAAACCAAGCTGCTGTAGGAAGCGTACTTATTGTGGACGTGCACAAAGATGGTGTCTACATTTTGCCTGCATTAAATTGGTGCTGCCAACTTACCATTGTACTGTGGTGGGAGGTAAAAAGATGGTGAGACCGTAGGCTGAATGACAGCAAACTGTAGACCTGCCATCTTTCTGTACGTTTGCCTTTGGATCCACTTACAGCAATCCTATTTTAACATGCACAGTTAAGGGCTGGATTCAATCTGTATCGCTGAAGTTCAGCGTTATAGGGTGATTGAAATGTAAAGGTAATGTTCCTGCGTTAGCGGAGAACGCATTCACGGTAAACGCTGCATATGTCGGCTCAATCGGAAATTATCTTTCAATTGTGATTGCGCAACCTGTAACGCTTTAGTGATACAAATTGAATTTAGCCCTAGATGTCCACATTCTGACTGGCTATAGAACACGAATTAGAGATTAAATGGTGCCAATCGCAGAGTAGAGCAGTCCAACCTGAATGTATAAATGTGTATAGATAAATATGAACTGAGCTCACTCCTGAAGTGGTATGGTTCAGCTGTTATCCTGTTTAGTTTCCAGTATAAAAGAGACCACATCCTCTTTGTTTTCTAAGTGGGAGACCTACAGGACGGTTTTCCTGCGAAGTAGGATGAAGTTGCCCCTAGACACAGTTCTGTGGTCAGTTTGGTGTTTTTCCCCACTAATGATTAAGGTAAAGCTTTGGGGAGGGAAAGCTGATCCTAGATCTATGCTTAAGAACAACTTCTACCCAGAGCGTCCTGTTGCAGTGGACTCCTTGTTAGCCCCAATGTTAACCTTGTCTTATATACCCCGAGGTTATCCGAAGGTGTCCACATTGTATGATATTGATGAACTGTCATCTCATCCTTTAGCTTAACGTTTAGCTCTATACCTCGCAGATTTCAACATGAGTTTATCACAGTTCTCGCTTCATACTCATATTGATCGTTGCAATTCAGCCGGATTCCATTAATTCTAGCGTGAAATACTTAAAGACTCATCCACCATCTGCGAGAGAACTGTACTCCGTATCATGTCATTGTGAAAGACGCAGTGTCTCTGTTGTATTGAACTGGTAAAAAATGAACAAAAAAGAACAAAAACTATAATAATTCTCTGGTCTGTTTCCTACAGAAGTGCTACTTCTGTTGCTTTGGTTGTGTTCCGTCGCAGGTGTGATGGTGGGATTGAACTGAAGTCCCATTGATGCTGAATGTATGTAGTATCTATCAATCTATCTATCTATCGCCACCGACAAAATGTTTACTGAACCTCCTCCACTTTTCATTCATTAAACTTTAATGTGTGTGCTTTTAACATGGACTCTTAACGTGTCTCTTCATTGGTTTGAATGGAGTTTGTGTGTGTGATAAGGGGGGGGGGGGGGGGGGGGGGGGGGGGGGGGGGGTAGACAGAGTTCAAAATCAGTTTGAGTGGCATGACCGAGTTACCCAATTTGGAATAAGTATATATTTTTTTTTTACAAAGCATGTAGATACATTGGAGGAAGAGTACAGTGCAATCTTAATTGTATTTCCATGATGGTATGATGAACATATGAAAGTCATTCTTTATAAAATCATCAAAGTGAGGAATACAGTTGTTTTAGTTAAACCTCATAAAATGACACAGTAGATTAGTGAAAGCTAACCACTGAAGATGGATGCATGGAAAAACGAAGCATGACACAAAATATACATTTCAAAGATCTTTACATCAACTCCAGCAAGAATACAAAGTCACTAACGTAAAAGATGTCTCATTATTGGGATTAACACAAATACATCAGTTATTTATTTTCCAATATACAGAATCCCAAACTATAAATATCCACAGTAAAGAATAAAACATGTTCAAGTTTGATATTTGGTGGACTGCTTCATTTAGATCTACTGTATGCATTTATCTATAGGGGTTTCTTAAATAACAATATAAAACATGAATTATACCTTTTGCATTTACAAAATGATTACTTTTAAAGTGAAATAACCATAATAAAAATAACACTGTGCTAAAATGTATTTCTTATGACACAAACGGAGGTCAAGCTATTGCTAAAGTACGGAAGCATCACACCAAGAAAACATCTTCCTGAAACAAAATAACAATCTGAGAAATAAAATACACAAAAATAAAACATGTCAGAGAGGCTATTTCTATAACATTGGGATATTGTACAGACTGATCATTTACAAACACTTGAAAAGTATAATTTTTTTCTCCAACAATTTTCATATGTCACCAGGGGTCAGTACACTGCAATATAGTCCAAATAACAGGCAAACACACCTTAAGCTCATAAAGTATGGGCAAAACATATCAATCCAACATTAGATACAACCTGTGGCTCCATGTGCTGTAGCATCATTCCCTGGCATCTGCTCTCAAACAGCAGACATTCTTAAAGTAACCCCCTTGCAAAACAGGTGACCAATGACACGTCTTTCAAGGGTTTATCATCAGTTATTAATGCTCATTCAGTACAAGACCCAGAGAGGAAAGGTAACGTACATGCATAGTCTTAAAGTTCTGCAACAAAAGCTATTTTTCAGATTGAACAAACAAATACATGTTTAATAAGAAGTAGTTGAGGTGAATACTGCATTTCAAGAGTGGGCTGTTGTTGCACAGGTGAAAGACTGGAGAAACAAGTATTTAAATGTAAACACTACAGGCAGCTAAAGCACATGCAACAGCAGGTAATGATCACACCAGAGGGAAAACATCACCATTAAAACTAATGAGAATCAGAGAAGATGAGAGGGAGGATCAGAGATACAACATAGCGAGGCATTGTAAAGGGCAAAAACAACTCGGACAGTATTTGAAAGTTAAACACAGCTACGATAACAACAGTTAAGGCTACTGCTCGGGAACAGAAATATCCCCAGAATCTAAAATGAAACACAGACACAAAAAGAGAACTCATTAGAATAACAAACCATGATGCTTCTTTACACATTTAAAATAAACAGTACATGATGAGAAGCAGGGTGGGTGTATAGCAGGAAGATGGAGGAGAATAAGGACTGAACACATGGAGGGAAGTTGTGAATGAAGATACACAGATGCACCAATGACCAGCTCTATACAATAACTGGAGAAGGTTTAACATCTGAAGGACCACATCAACATGACACAATGTGTGCAGACCTGCACCAAATCCATATCTAGAACAATCACTTTCTCCTCCTACAGTACGTGTCTGTGCAATGGCCAGAGAATTGAGGTTTCACCTGTTAGCAACACTTTACATCTGATGAATAAGGCACCTACCTGATCACAAAAAGTCACACACACTCGCACAACTCTTTGATCGCGAGATGGGCTGGAGACATAGATCTAAGGCTATAGATCTAAGAGTGATGTTCAGTGAAACCTGGGCTAATTTTAAATTGAACGATTGGCTTGCAGTCAGAGAACATCAATATTTGTTTTTAGCAACATGGTGCTGATGTTTTCATGCCATTATTACTAAACCTCACAATAATTTTTTTAATCATGGAAAAGAGACTTCTGTGATCTTTACAAAACACTTGGACAAACAAAAAGGTGGAGGACATGGCATGCTGTAGTCTGAATAACTAGCATCAAACAAACCAAAAACGTCTGACATGTTTACAATGCAGATATACCCTTATATGAAGATAATCGCCATCTCCAGCCCAGTTAGAGAACTAAACAAGATCAAACCAGAGGCCAGATGGAGTTTTGCCTCTGTATAACACAACACTGGTCTGACAGGAACCCTCTCAGAAAACACAGCAAACACACACGACTTTAAATATCTTCCCATCACCATTTTGCCTTTGAAGCTTATCAAGTGTTGGCATTGCCAAGCTCCCCCCCTCCCCCCAATCCATCCAAATGATAATTTACCAACACAGCTTGGGAGGAACACACAAAAATAGGTACGACCAGTCCTCTGTAGAATATTCCAGATACGATAAAAAAAAGTTATATAACCAGCTTGGCTGTTACAGTCTGTCTGCACGCTAGCTATTTCTTCCTGGTGCGCTTGGCTGGAGTCTGTGTGCTCTTCTGGCTTCTCTTTGTGGCAGCCTTAGGAGACTCACTCTGAGCAGGTTCATTGGCCCTCTTTGTGGCAGGCTTAGAGTTTGCACTCTGAGGGATGGAGGGGGATGGAGTGGCCTCCATCTTCCTTTGTGACCTTGTGAGTACCTGGTCAGGAGAGCCTGATGTTTTGACGTCCATGTTCTGTTGAGGAGACTCAACCTCACTTTCAGTGCCTTTGCTCTCAGCACCTTTACTTTCAGTGACTTTAGTCTCAGATACTCTACTTTCAGAGTGTCTCTTTGTTTCACCTGCTTGTGTTGGCATAGTCTTTTCCACCCCTGCCTTCTCCGCTCCAACCTGCTGTTTGTTTGATTCCGTCTTAGGGGTGATGGCAGAAGCAGGGGTGTTTTTCTGTGCTTTTGGGGTCATCGCTCTTTGGGTAGACCTCTGTGGTGAAGCACTCTCTTTCCTACCGATATCCCTTAAGGTTCTACTGCTACTGCTAGTCTTGACTGATCTCTCCTGGACAGCAGCTTTTGCTGGAGTCTTTCTACTAGGAGATGGCTGCGCTCGCTCTGTTTTGACTACACTTGGCTCCTTCACACTTTTATCTCCAGAAACAGATAATTTCTGCCTCTGGGCAGTGGCCGGTTTCAATTTAGTTGGTTTTGCCAATTTCGTCTTTGGGGGTTTAGAGGGTTTGACTTTGGAAGCTTTGAACTCTTTTCTTGGGGCCCCTTTTGGCTTCTTGGAGCTTTGTTGACCTTGCATCTTCTCCCGTATATTGGAGTACTTCCGCAGGATCCAGGAAATGGCTGGGTTCTTGGCCTTCGCTGAGGCCTTCTGGCCGTCGGCTGGCTGTGCCTCTGCAGAGGAGAGATAGGCTTTGGTGGAGATCCGGGTGGCCGTGGTCAGCTCTCTCTTCTCCTTCCCTTTGGGTGTACTTGTACTGACATCCTGCGCCAGGACTTTAGCAATCAGCTTCTGGCTCTTAGGGTTGCTCTTCACAGGGGAAGCGATGGCAAACTTCTTCAAGTGTTTCTTCAAGCGCTCGGCCTGCAGGCTAGGGAAGAGCCCTTTGGACGGCCCTTGGGACATACCGGGGAAGAGCAGCTGGGTCTCAGAGGGAAGACGCGTGTTCACCTTCTTTACGATGACCATTGATTGGGTTTCTGTTGACTCCATGTACCAGCGGCAGATACTGGCTAGGTCCAAATCATTCTTGAAAAGCATCTGGACAAGGGAGTACCTCTGGTGCTCCGAAGACTTGGGCTTGCGGACCCGGCGCTTGCTCTTCCATATCACTGCCTGTCTGTCTGCCTTGTTCTTGTGTTTGGGCGTTGGTTGTCCCTCTTTGTCTATCTGGACCCAGCCTCTATGCATCTTATCGAACCTGGTGTTGAGATTAGAGATTTTCTGTTGGTTTTCCTCTACGTCTAGTAACTCCAGGAACTTGTGTCGAGACTGTACTGGGGGCTCCAGCTTGGGCAGGAGGAGAGGAGTGACTAAGCTGGAGGGCAGAGGAGAACTGACCAGCAAAGGAGAATCCCTCAGTGGAGACTTGATTATCCTCTCAGGTTTTAACTTGATGGGTGATAAGAGTCTCACTGGGGATTTCAGCCTACTGGGAGATGCCACTTCACTCTGTTTCTCAGCTGTGATTGGAGCACTGGTTGAGGGCGTGGGTGACCTCTGGACTCTCAAAGCAGACTTCCTGTTCTCCACCGCAGTTGGTGGGGTTGTCGGGGTAACGGACTGGCTGGCCACTTCAGTTTTACTACTCTCACTCCTCAATGGCATTCGCCCAGGTTTGTCTGAAGCACTGCTGATGGAAGACCTGCTGGAATCTCCAGATGGAATTTTGTTATCCATTGAAGTTGGTGCCTCTACCTTCTCCAGCAAAGTTGGTTCCTCTGAATTCTTCAGGGAAGTCAATTTGCTTGGTTCTCCCTCTTTAGATGGAGCCAATTTGCTTGCTTCTCCTTCCTTTTTGGGAATTATTTTGCTTCTTAGTGGACTACTTTGTGCTTGCGCCTCACTCTTTTTAATGATTGTACCCTCTGTGTGAGCAGAACCCTGACTGCTAACTTGCAGACTCACAACCTTTTCAACTTCAACTTCCTTTGCTACTACCATCATTGACGACCTGAGCTTTGGTCTTGTTTGCACCCTAGTTTCCACTGCCGTGTTCTGTGTCTTGCTGGGTTTGGGTTTTGGAGCTGGCTGAGCCGTTTCAACTTTCAGCTCTGCAGAGCTCTGGGTAACTGCACTGTTCTGATCAAATGAAGGGAAAAGATGGGGGACAATAGGAAGAAGAGGAGAGGCAACGGGGAGGGAAGGGTTAAACTCTGTGCAGGGGAGTGGGAGGGAGGTAGATGGTTCTGGGGGGACAATGAAAGTAACAGCAACTTCAGTGGGAGGGGAGGTAACTAGGAGGAGAGGCGAGACGACAGGGAGGGGAGGCGAGACGACAGGGAGGGGTGGCGAAGCGACAGGGAGGGGAGGCGAGGCGACAGGGAGGGGAGGCGAGGAGACAGGGAGGAGAGGAGAGGTAACAGCTGCTGCCTGTTGCAGTCTGGCTGATCTGACAGGGTGTCTGGGCTCAGGGCTCCTGGGGGAGTCGACTGGTGTGTCTGGGACTAGAGGAGTGTCAGGAATGCTCTGTCTTGCTGTTATAGTGATCTGGCTTGCTTCCGCAGGTGTCTTCGTGTCAGGCAGGTTCTGAGTTGCTTTAGCTTTAAAGGTTTTTGTGCGACGTTTGGACACAGGGCTTTTGATCACTTCATCTGGAGGGAATGAGACTTGAGGAACTTCTGGCATGTTCTCAGAGGGTTTCTCAGATTGTTTCAGGGAGGCCTTGGTGGGTCGTTTCGACAAGGGGCTTTTGATGCTTTTCCCAGCAGCGACTGGGGCGAGAGGAGTCTCAGGTGAGACTTGTGGAATCTCAAACACATTCTCCGAAGGTTTCTCAGTCTGTTTCAGAGAGGCCTTAATGGGGCGATTAGTCTTCGTAGGAGTAGACTCTGGGGTGTTTTTAGCTGTCCGCTCACGCAAACATCTGTCAGACTGTCCTATAGGTCTACCATTCACATATCCACATATAATCATATTCTCTGTCTCAATCACTGCAACTTCCTTCACCCTTGAAGGAATCACCCGTGCTGGAATACCCTGTTTTTCAGCACGTCTTGGAGGTGATTGTTTCACAACTGCCTCATCAGCCTTTTTAGAGGACGAATCAGCATCTGTATTTTTCTCTTCAGGCACATTGTTGCCGTCACTTGGAGCCAAGTCTGGTTCAACCTTGCCCGTTTCCTGCACCTCCTTCCTTTCACTCTCTGTGGGAACCTCAGATGGTTTCTGGTCATCTGGACTCTGATGTTCCATAGGCTCGGCCTGCTCTTTATCAATTGAACCTGCACTCACTACCTCATTCTTCTCCTTGTCTCCAGTGCTCTCCATGGAAGGGGTCAGGGATTCAGATTCCTTTTGTTGGGTTTCAGAGATAACGTTCTGGCCCTCTGGCACACACTGCAGCTTATCCTGGACAAGCTCAGCTTCTTCTGATGTCTTATGTGATGGGTTCACATCTTTCCCCATCACCACTTGCTCTGGGCTTTCACTCAAAACAATGTCATTATTAACACTGTTTACATCCTGATGTGCGGTCTCGACCACAGTATGAGCTAGACTATCCTCTGGTGCTACGCTCTGCCTTGGCTGCTCTGAGTCTGTCCCTGCACACTGCTCGTTCTCCACTGGGGGACTCTGTGAAGGAGGTGGAGGGTCAGTCTGCTCTTTGCATTGACTCTGGTCTGTCTGACTAGTCTGAACAATCAGCTCCACCTCACTGGCTGATGTTGCTGCAGTCTCTATATCCCCAGCCCCAGGCAACTCCCTTTCAGCTGGATGCTCCGAGGGAGTTTTCTGACTGACCGTCTCCAAAATACCTCCAATGAAGGGCATATCCACAAAAGGTACACCCTCAGGCTTGCCAAGCACCTGTTTAGGGGTGACCAGAGTATTGAGATCTGGCATTGGAGTGAGACAGTTGCCACTATAGTTGCGGGCGGACTTCCTGGCTAATGTACGGACAGTCTTAAGCTCCCACATCTCCTCCACGTACATGTGACCTCTGGTGCTTTTCCTGGCGTTGTGTCGCGGGAGCCGACGGTGCTGCCATTTCTGGAAACAGTCTGTGATTGGTTTGTCGATGCAGACAATGTCGCAGTGGCCAAGATCAGGGTCGGTTACAAACTGACACACTGAGGAAGAGTCCCTAGGCCGATGGTAGGAAGACCCCTTTATGGTCTTCCTTGCTGTCCTGGGGGAAACTGGGGGTATGATGGTGGGGGTCTTTTGGAGTGGACTCTGTTTGACCAGCATATCTCTGGTACGTCCAAAGGAGCCTCTTTGTCTTGTTGAGTGATTAGCATGATTGTGCCTTTTCACAGAGGAGCCGAGTTCATTGCTGTAAGTATCTGCTCTGATTGAAGAGTCAGAATTGCCCTGCCGTTTATCCATAGTACCGGCGCAAGCAGGAAGAGAGGTGGTGAGCACAGAGGACAGCTTCTTACCATCAGCCAAGCTGCTGGACTTCATGATTTTGATCTTTAGAGGAGCATGGTCACTAAGAGGTTTACTCTCACCGTTGTCTGTGCTTCTGAGAAGGGTTGCCAAAGCCTTAGACTCCCCTGGGCCAGGTTTACAGAGATCCAAGGCCGGCCCAGCGGCCCCAGATACATTTCTTGACACAGCAGTCTCAGGGGTCTTCTCTGGGGCTGCCAACCTGCTACTCCTGGTACCAACTGTTTCTCGCCCCTCCGCCGGTCCTTTGGGAGTGGAAGCCATGGGAAGTTTCTGGCCAATCCTCCCCTTCTCCAGGGTCTCCAGGCAGGGTTCAGGGCTAGGACCCTGGAGGGCGCCGTGCTCGACTGAGCAAGAGGGTTTGAAGGCAGAGGCTGGTGAAGTGCTGGAGGAGGATATAGCCTTGACCTATAACAAAGAGAACAATGAGATTATTCAATACCTTAACTTAGTTATTACATAGACAAAACATATTCACTCCACAGAGCCTTAGTCTCTAACTTCCTCTGTATCTTTTTGTTAATGTATTAGGTATCTGTGTCCTCTGTTTTGTTAATTTGTGACTGCCTTTCAGGGACAGTAACTATCTATTCAAATGAACTGAATTGAAAATGCACAATGAGAGTGATGCCTATACAGACCTCTGTCTGTAGGAAGCCCAGAGCGTCGACAATCTGCCTCTGGTGATGCACACACAGCTTGGCCATGAACTGCTCCAGCGTCGAAGTGGACTGGAGGTCCCTGGCCTTCGCTGGACTCAGCTCCAGACATTCACTGCAAGACAAACAGGACAAGGATGTTTATATTTATTGTCAGGAATATAAATGTAGGCTTATACATTTCCAAAAGCATATAAAAAATATGTTTTAATGGATGCTATTAGAAAGAAAAAATAAGTCAGGTTATAACATATGAAGATCAGACCACCTGGATATGGACCATAATGAGAGTTACGATAGCTATAGGTACTTAAAATGCTGTCATACAGTGGGATAAATGCATTAAGGCCATCCACTTTCCCTATGGAGATTAATAAAGTATTCACAGCACCCATAAAAATACATAGTTTATAGTTCAGAAAGAAATGTTATCATGAAAACGCTAAAGACGTCAGCATGCTTCAGTTCGGCTGGCGCCTAGCCAAGCTCGGCTAGCCGAAAGAGTGTGCTTGCATACTCCCTTAAAAACACCTTAGCTTGAAAAACAAGAAAAAAGCGGCAATAGTACTGTTTGTCCATTTTGAAAAGCCATAGCCAGTATACACTCCCTCAAAATAGTCTGAATGAATCTATGAAATCAGTCATTAATTTACGATTTTACCAAGGAGATCTTAGTCACGCAATTTTACATCTGACTTGGATGTTTGGTGCAGTATTTCTCAAGTGAAATAATTTGCATGAGGACAAGTCGTCTCTCGTTGAATGACAACAGGCACTTCATTGTAGAATCCCTACTGTTGACCAACCGCCGACGAGAGGGCGTAGACTTCGGCTATCAACTTCGGATTGCCTTGACAAAAAAATGTGCCCGCACAGCCGAAAAAACCCTTGCCGATGTCCAAAACGAATAGAAATGTCACAAAATGTCGTCATAATATATGCACAAGCTGTTCTGAACTGTATCGTCTGGGAAGCATGCAGATGCCTTGAGTGCTAGAGAAAAATGATATGGAGATAAATAAAAATGAAAAACGTTGACAAAATATAAAAATGGGGAACAGCAATTGATCCATAATTCAATGTTCGGTTCAGTTTTAGTAAAACCTAAACCAAATATTGATTTCACTTGTCCATGTCAGCATTTCCAGCAGGCCTGGATATCCTCAAATTCTATCCATTCATCTATAGAATGAACCTGGAACCATTACAACAAAGAAGTAGTCATTAACATCAAAGCCCGTCTGTTGGTACATCTTAGTGACACCATTATTTCATAGAAACATGAGACCCATCATCCACATTGCACAGTCTGGTTTGAAATGTTTCCATCTTGATACAATTGAAAAGCAATACAGCAACAAAAGTTAAGGCTGAAATATTGTGCTAGTAAAATGTTATATACAAAATATGATTTAGTCATTAATTGGGTTGATATTAGGGGTGTAACGATTCATCAATAAGGAATCCGGTTCAAATGTTTAAAAGTAACTGTCTATTGTTTCCAGATTTCTCTGAAATATTACCTATAATTAATTACAATATGAGTGAAATAGTTTTGATCACAAAAAATGTCAATTAAGTATGTTAAAAAGCAGCTTTTCTGTGTTGGAATGGTGTGGGAGTATACCAGTCATTATAATTTTTCATGAGAGTAGACCGCTGATTGGCCAACTCAGCCTATGAGCCAACATGCCATCATGTTCTATGAGGAAAAAGCAAGCATTTTTTAAATGGTCTGTTTGAGATAGAAGTTTGAGGTGGGTTTTTTAAAAGTGTTTTCTCCCCCTCCAATTTATGCTTTGGCCACAAATATGAGTATAGGACTAGTTAACAACATTATTTGGGTATGAGTTAAAGGTCCAATGAAGCCATTTTTATCTCAATATCAAAATACTTTCTGGGTAACAATTAAGTACCTTACTGTGATTGTTGTCAATTTAAATGGTCAAAAATAAAAACAGAAATAGCTTCTCTGCAAAGAACAATTTCTCAAGCAAGAATTTTGCTAGTACTGTCTGGGAGTGGTCTGAGTGGGGAGGGGAAAACTAGCGGTTATTGGCAGAGAGGTTTGGAACTCTTTCTTATTGGTCTATTAACCAATTTACCATCTGGTGATGTCACCAGGCAGTCCAAAACTCTATCCCACAATAACAGGTTGAAATTTCAGGCAGTCTTTTCAAACAGCTCTTACACTAAAAAGGGCATTAATCACTTCACAGTTTCACAGTATTATTACAACCTCAGTGTGGAAGTACAGTATATATAAAACATGAAAATCAAATGTTTGACTGCACTGGGCCTTTAACAGAATATGAACTTTTAAAAGTGAGATTTTCACTGGACAGTTACTTGCGAGTGCATCGTTCCGAAGGACTCCAAACCGATCCAAATGTAGCATGAAATCGGTCAGAAAATCGATTAAATGTTACAAACCGTCGTTTCACAAACGTTTTTACAAATAGTTTCTACCTTCTGAAAATACCTCATATTTTGTGACTGAACTGGTGCGTCCTCAAACTGTATGCAACTGCATATGACAGTAATTGATCTACAAGTCATCTTGCATGCCGAGCAACCCCAATACCTATGCACAGCTTCCTGTGTTGTCCAATTTACGTTCCAAACTTAATTTTATCTGCTGTAATCTTTGTGGCATAAGAATGCAGGTGATTGACTGAGAATTATATCTGCAGTGACATTATGCTGAAAATAACAGATTGATTCATGATAATATACAGATTAATTTATGATAATATATAACATGCTCTTTCCTTGACAGACTGACAAGGTGAATCCAAGTGAAAGTTATGATCCCTTATTGTTGTCACATGTTAAATCCACTTCATCAATGTAGATGAAGGGGAGGAGGCAGGTTAAATAAGGATCTTTAGACCTTAAGACAATTGAGACATGGATTGTGTATGTGTGCCATTCAGAGGGTGAATGGGCAAGACAAAAGATTGAAGTGCATTTGAACAGGCACACCGGTTTGAGTGTGTCAAAAACTGCAACGCTGCTGGATTTTTCACGCTCAACAGTTTCCTGTGTGTATCAAGAATGGTCCACCACCCAAAGGACATCCAGCCAACTTGACACAACTGTGGGAAGCATTGGAGTCAACATGGGCCAGCATCCCCGTGGAACACTTGACACCTTTTATCCATGCCCTGACAAATTGAGGCTATTCTCAGGGCAAAAGGGGGTGCAACTCAATATTAGTAAGGTGTTCCTAATGTTTTGTACACACAGTGCATATTCGTCCACCATTTAGTGGCAAATATTTTTTTTTACTTGAAATGTTCAACTTTTCTTTAAAGAACATACTGTATATTTCAACTGTTGGAGCTTTATTGTAAAATAACCATGTTGGTTTCACTTTAAGGTTATGTTTAGACATACCTCTGTCCTTTGCAGCATGACCAGATAGTAAAAACTGGCAACCATGTCCAGATGCAGGCGGGTCCTAACACACATACCTCAGAGAAGTCAGCTCAGACATATCCAGCTCCTGAGCTCCATCAGCAGCAGATCTTAACACATGTTAGTGCATTGAATCGTATCGAACTGAATCGCATCGTTTCGTTCCTCTTATCACATGATCACACCGAATAGTTTCAAACTAAAATGCATCGTTCCTGTATCGTAGCGGAGCACATGTATCTGGTACAGTGGAGGCTGCTGGGGGGAGGACGGCTCATACTAATGGCTGGAACGGAGCAAATGGAATGGCATCAACCCATGTGTTTGATACCATTCCAGCTATTCTACTCCAGCCATTAACCACGAGCACGTCCTCCCCAATTAAGGTGCCACCAACCTCCTGTGATCTAGGAGTGTATCGAAACATCTTTGAAAGGGAAGATGCTGGAGCTGATATTCAGTCAGACAATTATGACCTTTATTACTGGCTATTGTTTTTAATTGTGTGTGGGAGGAATGACAAGCTCATGTGCAGTGTTAAATATGCATTTGGCAAAAGAAGAGTATTCACAGGGTAGGCCTAATGAATCATTTGCAAGTGATGATCAGGAGTGTATAATTAGATCTACAGTATTTAATTCAGCTACTAATTTTGTGAAACAACAAAAATCAGGCCCATTACAACATTTTGTAAAATACTACGCTAAAGTGTTTTGGTTGAAAAAATGACAGAGAATTCATTTTTCACAATAACATTTATTAGAAGAATAGGTGATTTTGAAAAGTGATTATTTTGTCCAGTGAATTTGACCTGTTACAGCTTCTCTTTTTCAAAATGGCGTTTTTTCCTTACAGGATACAACAAGTAAATTCTTACACATGCACAAAGACAATTTATCATTGGTGCCCCAGGTTCAATGCAACATACATAAAATCAAGATCATAACCACTTCACTTCAAAGATTACATATAGATATTTTATTAGTCAAGTTGTCAAATCAAAATTGCATTCAAAATTGGAAAATGTACTAGTGCAATCAAATTAACTTACTGATTAAGTCCTCTCTACCAGAAAGACAATTGACCATAGCCAAGAAGTTCTAATAACATAGTACAAAAAAAAAAAGATTAATAAATTACAGTACAAAAATGTAAGTCTGTCAAACTGTAAATGGCAATTACTGAAATGAGGTCCAGTTAGGTTTAGGTGTACCTGCTATCTGAGCATCTGACTACATAAACCAAACAAATAAGAGTTTTCTTTTGTGTTTTTGGCTTGACTAATGAATTAGGTATTTCATATATGAAATATAATTGCTTATCGGACACTAAAGCTGGCAATAAGAATATATGAAATATTTTCTCTTTCATAATTTTTTCAAAAGCCTCTCAGTCCTCTATGTTTGAAGTGTAATGTCCCAAGCATTGCAAGTCATCCCAATTAGTCCACAGCATAGGGCAAAAAGGGCTGCTTTCAAACATTTTAAAAGGAAAAACTTGCTATTATAGACTCCATATAGTACAGTCTTAATCTAAAAGCCGTAGAGCGGTCAAACCAAAGATAAGTAGCAACATGTAGGCTACCAAGCAGAGCTCTAAATCAGAAGGGCTTAGAGAGACGGAATAGAGAACATCCAACAAAATAAATCTTCCCAACAAACCACATCTTTAAAAAAAAAAAAATATGATACCTT